CTCACTGGCTCAGTTTCATTTATAAAATGGAGTTGATAATAATTGCATCCACTTACAGGTGTTCGGGGAGCTCTGGTGGTGTAGTAGGTTATGCAGTTGTTCCATTTCCAATAATCTAGTTTCCCTTGCCTCTCCTCAATTTGCTTGCGAGTACTTGTTGACCTTTTGGTCTCTTCTAGATGATTCTTTAATGGTACACCCATACTCATGGGATAATATCCTTTGTTTTGTATGCCACACTAGTGTTTTGCCTAAAGGTGATCTCAGGGATAGTTTCAGTTCAAGGTTTAAAGAGCATTTCAGAATCATTGTCTTAGGGAGTCTACCCTCTAGTCTCAACTGGTGCAATATGTCTGTACTTGTAAAGAATCTTGGTTCTAGTCCACATTTGTCTCCTGTTCATTTGATTTGTTGAGACTCTGATCAGAATGACTGGTAGTGGCAGTTGGGCACCATCTAGGTTTTCTACTCTCAGAGTAGATGAGGCCATGGATAGTGTAGGCTCTTTGACATGTAGATGAGTTTCTTCTCAGATGGCTACTCTCAAGCTTTTAACACCTCATTTCACTAGAATGAACTTTGTGAGCTATATTAGGCCAATCAACCGAGTTGTCTCATGGGACAAAATCCCTAAACCTTCAGACTTACAAAACCAGTTCTTCCAAGATATTTGGCTATGTCTCTGAGAAGTATGTACAATTGTGTGTTATAGGAATATATAAGTATTTCTAAGCAAAAATATCAAAATGCGAGGCTGTTATCTCTTGACATCTTGACATCTTCTATCATGCCTCTGAAGGTGATGTTTCCATTTTTCTTACACTTCTCGGATAGGAGTCATGGTGGTGTAGTGGGTTGCATCTTATATTGCTAACCACAAGGTCAGCAGTTGAAACCCATCAGTCACTTCCCTGGAGAAAGATGGGACTTTCTGCTCCTGTAGAGCTTTATAGCATTGGAAACCCAGAGGGACAGTCTTACTCTTTCCAATAAGATTGCAGCTGGTCAGAATTGACTCAATGGCAGTGGACTTTAGAAAACTCTTCCCTGCAGAATTCTGTGGTATTCACCTGGTACCACCTCAAAACCACAGTTTTGGCCTCCTTAAAGAGCACAAATCATATTCAGTTGAAATGTTCTTTGAGTTTGGGGAGCAAAAATGTCTGAAGAGGCAAGATCAAATTTTAGGGTGGATAGGGTAAGGTTTTCCAATGAAATTCACATAGGACAGTCCTTGCTATCGTTGAAGTAAGACCAGATTCACTGTCATGATGGGAGAACATTTCTCGGCACATTTCCTGACTTTTTTCCCTCACGCAGATTTCAATTTTCTGAAAACTTCTGCATAATAAGCATCTGTGATTGTCTTGTCTTGTTCGAGAAAATCTATTAAGATCATCCCTTTGGAATCCCCAAACAGTCACAATAACCTTCTGAGCTGATCCTCTTAAAAGCCACTGTTTTAATTGAACCT